AAAAAAACCACCCCCCATTCAAACAAACACACAAAAAGAATACAAAACGAAAACAAAACACACAAAAAACCGAGACACCCCACTCTCCAAATAAATTTATAATAAACAATAACAAATAAATAAAAACCAATACAAAACAAAACATACTACGTGTCTAATTCAAAATCGACTCAAAATAATCGAAGTAACCCCCGGACACGACAATACAGTCTTCCTTTTTTTGAAGTGAACACGCATGTTAGATCATATTATTTATTATTTCCATCAACTGACACCTGGGTCATGACTCTGGCAATGGAGACGGAAAACAACACCTGCTGGCAAACCTTTGCTTTCGAAACGATACACTTTGACTTTGAGGTTGCACGTGTTGGTGTTTTTGCTTTAATATGACATCTTTATAGCATAAGCTCAGCTGCCATGTCAAAACGAGATAGTACAACTGCTTTTTTATGATCTTTTCCGATTGTGGGAAATTAACAGGAACCGACACCGACACATTTATCTTTGGCGCAAATAAGCCTTACGTGTGAGTTTAATAGGTGGGGGCAGCAATAATATCATATGCGAGTAAATTAAGCTCTCGACCACGAAGAATCTGTTGTTGTTGTTGTCGTTATTGTTACAGTTTTTACACACTGATACAATGTTAACCATTTTGGAGGGGGGCTGCTTCCACTCACTTGTTGCGTCAATCCGGGCGAAGCGGAATGCACACATCCGCACAGGAAACAGGCGCTCGTCTAAATAATGAAAGTTAAAAAACTGGCTTTTAACGGTAGGTTTTGGAACTTTCATCGAAGTTTTGTTTTTTGGCTAAACACCTTTCATGCCCATTTAAGAACACATGTATGTATGAATTTTACTGAAAAACGTTGATTAAAGGCTTAAAAGATGTACATCTGAAGTTTCCACGGACTCTCAAGCTAAGGAAATAACGCAACTTTGGCGGCCATTTTCTCGCTAATTTTACCCCTGAAACCAGGCCACCCCCACCTCCTTCAATCGCCAATATCTTGACTTGTACAAAAGATAAATGGATTTTTCCCTGTCAAAAGCAAGACAAATTATGGCCAGGCTTTAAGATGATACCAATACCTCCATATGCCCCAAAATTGACGATCGCTTGATTCCACTGCGTCGTGACACATAATCTTTCCCTTATATGGGGTGCCCACATACGCCATCGGGTCAGGTCGGGTCGGGCCTATCGGGTAGTCAAGGCTAGCCAAATTGAGGGCGCAAAGCGGCATCGTGGCACAAACCGATCGACCCGATCGGTGACCTACAAAAACAAACGCGTTTGTTTTCTGGCCTGCGAATCACTCGATCGGGTGGTTTGCAGCCAATCACAACAAGGATGAGTCACGTGTCCATTTTGACCTATGAATACATTACGTAGGTACTCTGGGAATTCCCGGTTTCGGTCTCACGCCTTTGGCCGTCTTCTCACTTCTCACAGCGGGTTTGGAGTGCTCATAGGCCTAGAGGAAGAAGGAGACGAATAAGAAGAAGGAGGGGGAGCACTACAGAGGGAAGGTGGTGAGAGTGACAGGGAGGGAGAGAGATAAGTTGAGAGATATATGCAGAGACCTAGATCTATCAATGTTTACATTGCTAGATCTAGGTCTCTGATATGGGAAGTGAAAAATATACAAGAAAGGAGAGAGACACTAAAGCAAGCAAGCAAGCACTCACGCACACACACATACAACACGCGCGCGCGCACACACACACACACAGAGAGAGAGAGAGAGGGAGAGAGACAGAGACAGAGACAGAGTCAGAGAGTGGGAGTGCGGGAAGTCCAAGAGTATCGTTGGCCTATTTTATGTATTCCCATGGGTCAAAGGTTCAGCCAATCGTAGCCCTCTGTGCAGTCGCATGTAGGTTAAAGGTTGCTCTACTTTAACTTCCTGGTCGTCGGGTACAATCGCGACGGGGTTGTAGTGTGCACTGAAACCACAAGAAAGCGACCCGACCGATAGGCCCGACCCGACCCGACCCGATCGCGTATGTGGGCACCCCCTATTAGGAGAGTCGAATTCACATTCTTTCCGCGCTATGCTATAAAGGTAAGAGGGTATTCATTCCCAAATAGAGGGCATGAACGCCACTACACCAGTCATCAACAACAGATGATAGGGGAAAAATTGAAGAAAGCACAGCAGATCATCGCCTGTTCAGCTTATTAGACCGTTCTCTGAAAGACGTAATTTGTTGGGGGCCCTTCAAATTCTGCTGCTGGTGGCCCCTTGGAGGTTTTTTGTGTTTTGGTTGAGCATTCAGCGAGACGAGACAGCACTTTAAGAGCACGAGGGTTTTCTATAGTTTCCCACGCCCCACAGCGGTGGTCAACCTTAGTGGAATATTCCACTGAAACAACTCCATGTTTTTTTCTTACTCCTCCTTGCCATTTATCTCACTCTACCATGAACGCCTGGCCTTCTATAGCTTTGTAGGTTACATGACATACCATGCAATCGTTCTACAACACTTGTCATTTTAATGTGTCAGCCGGTCGATAAAGCAAGTTTTACTAGGAGAGACTCCCTCCCCCCTCACACACAACCACACACCCACACCCGATGCGTAGCAAGTGAGGCATCACACTCACACATCCTTAATGTATTTTCAATACCGCATGCGTGCACACTAAGATTGTTTTTTAGAAGGTGTAAAAAAGGGGGAGGGTTAATAAGTTTATGTGACACCGTCAAACGCACACAGCAGCTGTTAATCTCAGTCGGTGTGAGCTTCATAAAGTTCCACGCACCGAGTGACAGTACGAAAGACTTCCGGGAACTTGGACATCGATTTAGAGATCCCTCAAAAGAAGCCAAACATTTCAAATATTATGGCTCGCCGTGTTATACTTTCCCTTCTTCGAGCTGGGAGATTGGAAGAGATGGGCAGCGGTGACGGATTTTACATTTCGCTTTGGTATTTACTGTCATTATTTTTTTTTTCGCCCTTAAAACATTCAAGCTTATTGTGAAACATAAAATATTCGTATTAAACCAAAGTCTGTATCTACCTGCTTTGTCGGGTAAGTCTTTAATGTGTAAATAAATCTATCAACGGAAACTTAAATGATTTCAGCTCTCTTAAAACAGATACATACAGGTAATATCTGAAGTAAACAAAAGCATGTACTATACAGAACGAAAGCAAAAGTAGTATTATAACCACTAGTATATCATTGGGGAATTTCTCCAGGAAAGTGAACATGATACACAGAAGAAAAGTGCAATGTAGAATACATTTTTACGTCGAATTAGTAACAAGCTCTGCATCCGAAGAGCTGTTTCTATATTTTCAGTAGGCATGGTCTAGACAGAATGAGACATTGTTTGATATTTCCCTCACCCTGCCCGGGATAAGAAGGAACAACCAGGAACAACCGAAAAATATACGTTCAGAAAATTAAAGCAGGCATTCGTCTATGAATTTCTCGGCATATTTACAGTATCCAGTATATTTAAAGTATTCCGTAGATATTTACAGTATCCATCCGATTCAAACGTGCACCCTTGAGAGATTACCACCCCCCCCCCCAACCTCCTAAAAGACCAACAACAAAATGCATAAAAATTAAACTAAATGAATAGGAAAACAACAGTGCAAGCAGGTCCTGTGTACAATGTTTCAAATCAGAAGTCGGTAAAGCTGGTTGGAAAAACGAATCCCACCCCCTGCCCCCAAAAGAAAACAACAAAAACAAACAAACAAACAAACAATGAAACAAACAAACAAAAGAAAAAAAGCTTAACGGTAGCATACTAGAGATAATTACTCCGAGCTGTTCATCCTTGGATGGAAGAGAAAGCACATTCTGGGTCAGACGTGCTCTGAGCAGACGGGGCGTGAGTAGTCATAACACTGCTCGAATTTCAAGAGTACAGGATCAGACCACTCGGAGCACGCAGTCTGCAGCCGTAAGGCATGACAGGTCGTGTCCTGTGCAGTTCTTGCCCTCCTACACTCAGAGTTTTAGTTTTATTCCAGACCCGTTTGCTTACGTGTTCACGCTCGTTGGCTAGGCCTATAGGCCTACGTGCGAGTACGTGAAATCCTGATTGGGAAAATACAGAAAATGCTATATTATGAAGCTATCTTTGCCTTTGTATTATTTCTAACATCAATCATATCACACACACACACACACA